GATCCGGGTTCCCTGTCTGTGGAACGAGAGGGGTGCACAGCGGGATCCCTGACTCTCCCACCGTCGGGACGGTGTGATGCCTCTTCCTGCTTATGGCCCCGCTGGAGGCAAGTAGGCACGGCTACGGTTGGTGGGAGGGAACGGGGGAAGGACGAGAAGTGACCCCTGAGAGCGATGGAATGGCATCCCGCCCGGGACTGGCTCGAACCACACAGACCCTCCGCCCTGCGCTCTGACACGGACCGGCCAAGCAGCTGACCACCCTGGCTCTACTTTGGCATTGGTACTCTCGCGACAAAGAGGTCGCCTCGTGCAGGTGCTAACGTGCTGGGCCCTTTCCCCTTCTGGTCTCCTCCCAGCCAGACACAGCGGAGAAAAGGGGGTACGGCAGCTCTCTGCCCCTCTCTGGAGCCCAGGGCGGCGGCTTCTCCGCAGTCAAAACCACAGCCCAGCCCTGCCCAGGGGGCGCCGCCCCTGCACTGTTGTCCTGCCTCACTCGCTGCACTGAGTCTGTCTCACCCAGATGCTCATGGGAGCCGGCCGGCCCGTGTTTGCCCCCAGGTGCCTCCTCTGGGCACCCGAGACGCCTCTGCACCCCCTCCAGAGACGTCTGTGTCTGTGGTTCTCTGTGGAGAAACGCCATGTGGCTACAGTCATCGTCTGTTTGTCTCGGTCACCTGGCTGTGGTCCAGGTTTGTACAAGCCCAGCAGCGAAGACACAGTGGCCTTTCTGTGACCCGGGCACCTGAGACTGCATTCCCGGAGAGCACTGTCCACTTGCATTTGGATACAAGGCCATTCCGTCTTTATTTCTCTCACCCTCCGCTTCGTCCGTGCCAAGGGCTCCTGGACTGGACGTGCTACCGGCCCCACGTTCTCCCGGCCTTTCCGAGTCGCCTGCGCGGCCCCGAGAGACGGAATTCGCACGGAACCCCCGCGTGACTCGGCGCCCTGCGGGCTGCTGCCCGAGCGCGGACGCCCTCGCAGAACACGCTTCCAGAACTCTGTCCGTGCAGGGGTCTTGGGAACACCTGCTTCTGCTGCAAACTGGCTCCTAATGAACTGTTTTAGGCCCTTGTATGCCCAGGGGAAATATCGGAAATCTCTACCTCATATGCCTAAGGAGAGAGCAGTTGTCTAGCAAATACATTATTTCTGTAATTAGCTATATTCACTGCATACGGTATGAATGAAAACTTCTACTTCCCACACTCCGATAATGTCATTTTTGAACTAATTCCGTAAGAGTCGGGCCACCCCCTCCATGAATGGATATCACCTAAATTTGAAAATAATTTCTACCCCCTCAGTGGTTTGGACCCTCCAAATGGCTCTTCTGTTCCTTCCCAGGTGTGGACACGTGGTGTGAGTGGGCTCCGCAATTTTACCACGCATTTTTTTTATCACAGTTAACTGTCCATCACCAGTCACGCTTTCAGCTTCCTTTAGAATGGAGGTTTCCATTTGAACGTAGCTGAGGGGTAAAAAAAAAAAAAAGAAAAAAGCATTTCACAGAGCTTGGTGGGCAAGGCAGCCGCCCGAGCAGGACTCACTGATGTTCTTTAGCATTTGGACGTGATGGGCCTGTGCGTCCAGATGAACCGCAGTACAAATGAGACTCAGCAGGCACGGCGGAGCCGGCCGGAGCCGCCGCGTTGCTTGGCCGGAGCCGAAGAAAGGGTTTCCTTCTCTATGAGCCGGGGGCGGACCCGGGACCTGATTCAAGGGAGAGCTTCTGCTGGTGGCTGCCATCGCCCGGCTCCTCAAATAGAGACTTTTTCAACAATGGACTTGTTTTTTTTTTTTTTTTTTTAAACGGTGGCTTTGCACAGCCTTCAGTAAATGACAGCGGGTTAATCTCTATAAACAACAGGATAAATGCACCATAGCACTTTTTAAATGACAAAAATCGGATTTTAGGCCCCGTGACACTCATGCGGCATTGGTAACGGGGCGTGAGTGGGTGGTGGGAGCCGGGGGATGAGGCCCGAGTGACGTGTTTTTAAACCAATGTGACCAGCGGTGGCTCGGGGGGACAGCAGAGCGGGAAAAGCAGCCCCGACCTTGCGGGGGGAGAGCCGCTCCTATTCTCTGCTCGGCTCTGCCTCCTGGGGCCTCCTGGGGGCTGCCGGGCGGGGGGGGGGGCGCGCACAAGTGTGGCGTGTGAGTGACATTTTAAAAGAAATATTCTGTTCATTTGTGAGACAGAGAGGCCGATGTTTACCTTACCCGTCTCATGGGGGAGGGCTCTGTACCCAAGGAAATCGTACATATGTGAATGCTGGAAAAGGCTGTGACATGGCACGCTTACTTCTGTCACGGGGCCCTTCAAGTGAGGGCGGCCATCGAGACGGCCGCCTGCTACCTGGCAGCTCAGGTGGGAGGCGTGACAGTCACAGGCGCCTGCGGAAAAGGAGTCTCTCTCTCTTTCTGTGTATATACACACACATATGTATCTATACACACACACACGTATCTCAGACACAAAAGTATTCTACAATCTGTAACTAAATACTGGCTGTGCTTCTGTTTTCCTCAAGCATCAGCTAAAACACAGATTAAGGGCCTCGGAAGCCCAGCACTGGAAGAACACCGAAACCACGCGGTGTCCAGGAATCGGAGAGCCCGCAGTCTTATCGAGGGTCCTCGGCGTGTCCCTAAGAACAAAGCCCTGGGAGAGAAATGCAGATGTACCGACCGTCACACGTTTGTCACACGTCCCCTACAGTCTCTTTCTAAACACAAAGTCTGCCTCAAACACACCGTTCATCACCCCGTCCTTGAGCACCAGTTGCAGTAATTGTGTATTTCACAAGTCTAGTATTAAATCATAAAACATTCTGCATCGTCCAATACTTCTTCATGTGCACGGAGTGGTGGTTAAACAAGCATACGCTTTACAAAGTGGCCCCCTGATATTTCCAGGACCCGCCAGGGACCACGCGGCCACCACGGTATTGCTGCCTAGATCCCCCTTGCTGGACTGCGCAGCCCCGGGAGACTCCTGTCACCGCCAGTCTGTGCTTCTCGACCCCTCCCCCTTCTGCACCCAGTCCTCCGGCCCCCTCCCCGACAGCAGGGGGGAGTCAGAAGGTGCTGTGCTAAGTGAAACAAGCCAGTCAGAGAAAGACACCGCCGCAGGGTCTCACTCACACGTGGAATCTACAGGACAACACACATGAACGGACAGAAGGGAAACAGACTCACAGATGCAGGGACCTCGCGCCCCAGAGTGCCCAGGGACGTGCTGGAGGACGGGCAGACATGTAACAAATTCTTCCTGAGGGTGGATGTAGTTGATTAAGAAAAAACAAGCTAATAAACTGTTAATATACTGCCGCAGATACTATTTAATGTAGCTGGAATCTTCTCTTTAAGAATGGTAACAGAAGTTTGCAGAAGCAGAATTTTTATAACTATATTGAGTGAATCAATTACTTAAAGGGAACCCTTTCTCTAATTCAAAGTTAACTTCGGAATTAAAACTGAGAAATAGCTCACCTGTATATATTTATGAGTAATTATGATGTAAAGACACTGATTTTTATTAGACGACATGAGGACCTGCCTATTTGGAAAATGAAACTATAGTCCATCTCTCAAAATTTCTGTGCAAAAACGCATACTATTATTTTATGTCAATATTTCTTCTCAAGCAGTTAAAGCTAAATACCTTACCGCACGGTTCTGCTAAGCCTGACTAGACACATGAAGTGTTATTGCTTAGTAACTGCACGATCAAGCTCTCTGGACCGGTCTCCACTCACAGGCAGCTTTTTCACGTCCTCCGTGTGGGAAGAGAAAAACCAGCACCAGCTCCATCTCTCGTCTGTATCTGGCCCACGGCCTCGTCTGATGACCAGCAGCCTCCGTCTACTAAATGGTCACCAGTTGATGGGGATCGGTACGTCCCTTAGGACGTCTCTTTGGGTGGACGCAACGGTTGACTGCGTCGAGCAGTTCTGCGTCTCCCTTGCTGACGGGATGGCGGTGATATTGCATCCCACCGAATGCTCTGCTGGGACGAGTCAGACCCGGGCGCTGAAACCTTTATGGCCTCCCCAGGAGGGGCTGGACGCAGGTGGTCTTCCCGTTACCCCAGCCCAGCAAATGGAGGGTCTGCCTGAGGCCTCCGGGCAGGTCACTCACTCAGGGAACAGAATCGAGGTCTCCCGCTGCCCAGGACACAATCATCAAGGCAGAGAACTCCCAGGGGAGGGGCGCCAGTCAGGGGCAGAGACCAGAATGGTCCCCAGGAGGCTCGCTGCAGAATCCACACAGCAACCTGTCTTCACCTCCCTCTGGCGGCACATAAAGCACACCGGAGGGTACCAGACAGCATAAACCCTAACGTGCCCTGATTAGGTGGGACCGCCACTCTGTCTCCCGGCCGCCCACCGTCCCAGCCAGCGGCCCCCCGTGACTCTCCGTGGCGCTGGACCTGGAGAGCCAGACAAAGGTACCGAGACCATCTTTGGCTTACAAGGGACTGTTGAACTCTGATGATGATGAAATTTGATAGTGATAATGTCAACCTTTATATGACCATCATCCAAGTTTACAGTGATACATTAAACCATAATGGCACTATTTATGCCACCATAAACCCCGTTTATGGTGATATATATAGCCACGCTAATGGCATTAACAGCCGCATGCAGTGGAATCACAGCTGTTGGGTGCTGCTTTTACGCTGTTAGCGTTGCTATGTACACGTCACCACAAACTTAGGCAGGCCCAGTTGTTATGTGGGCGAACACCGGGAAGACGGGTATCTACATCTCGTGCCCAGACCTGGGCTCCGTGAACGGAAGACTTTAGGGCCGTCACCTCCCTCTCTGTGTTAAGGTCTACCTAGCTCTCCACTGGGCTGTTTGCATCGCAGGGTGTTTCTTCAGGAGAGAGAGAAGAGCCGTCTCCTTCCTGCCCGCCCGCCCCCCCGCAGGTGGCTGGGAGGAAACACTAAGAAAATGCAAGCCACAGCCGCTGGGTTCACTTACTGTCTCCTTGGCAGCGCAGGGGGCCCACACTCAGCTTCGCTTCCGAGCCCGGCCGGTCGGTGTCGCCAACCACCACCTGGCTCACCGGCAGGTGGTCCTTGTGGGATAAGAAGCCAGCGTCCTTCCTCCTGGATGACAGGGAGAGAGCACAGGGTCAGGAGGCCGAGAAGACACGGGCCTTTCCTGAGCATCGCCCAAGTTGTCTAAGAGTTGACCACATGCCAGTGGGCGTTCGGAAGTTCTCTAAGGGGAACCGGAGCCAAAGAGCTGTCTTTGCTCCTCCCTCGGGGGGTCTCGCTCTGCTGAGGAGCGACGGTGACATCTGCGCCTTCTGGAAGACAGAAGTGACGCCCCGAGTTCCAGAGTCACGACCGATACGCCGCATGCCGTTCCGGGCTGCCAGCAGACGACCGCGCTGCTTGAAGCACACCCCCAGGAATGCTGAGCACACAGAGCAGAGTTTGCTGTTGTCATGGAATCGAAAGTTCAACAAAGCCAACCTTCTCTCTCACATAATCTACGAAACAAAACCCTATTCAAAAGAACACCCTGCTGCGTCCGTCCGAGGCTTTCTCCCCTGCTGTGCGTCACCTCTTCTTGTTTCTGCCGCCACTGAAAGGGTCCGGGGGGAGCTCCCAACACAGAGCAGGTGCTGCCCCCCAGGTGCCTGTTTCCATCTGGAATGAGGGGTGGAGCCTCGGCCTGGTTTTCCTCTCAGATCCCTCCTCCTGGTTGCCGTGTACTTACCTTGTCTCGGGTCTCCCAACTCTTCCCCACGCCCACCCTAAGTCAGGGAAGAGGATGAGGGGGGTTGTGAAGTACTGACTCTGGGGTGGACGCAGACGTCCAGGAGACGTAGCGGGGGACGGACTCACGGCAGTGACGCCCAGCACGGATTTCAGCTCCCGGGAAACCCCTGTCCCCTCAGCCCCCGGGAAACCCCTGTCCCGCGCCCTCGTCCGTGCTGCTGCGGTCGAGGGACGCCCTCGCTCAGGGCTGGACGAGCGCCAGGCAGAAATCGGTACAGAGGTGTTACGAAAGTTCACCTTTCTACACGACTTTCTGTCTGGATGTAAATAACTACTTTGAAATTGTATATACAGCTGACCGCAGAAAAGAAGACTGATTTGGGATAGCTGGAGAGTGGAGCACTTGCGGCAGAGACCGCGTGGCCCTCAAAGCTTGCCAGCCCTGCTCTACATCACCACTACCCGCCTCTCTCCTCCACTGAGGGTCCGCTGAGCAAACAGCCCACGGACTGTCACGTAGCAGGCGGCTGTCACTCAACTCATCTCCGCAGTCAGATGGGGCTGCAGAGGCACCGGAAAGTCTGAGTGGGGAAAGAAACCGTTTGGACCACAGTTTACTTAACCTAATGGTGAGAGATGCCTTCACTAACTCTTTTGTTGGCTTTGCCCTCTGCGGCAGGCAGCCGGGGTCACCTCTGGCGCAGTGAATGTTTGCTCTGAAGGGACGACTGGGCGCCCCACGGCCGGTCGGCGCGCTCGCCGTTTAACCGTCCCAGCGGCCAGAAGACGGTGTGGCTGCACTACTACAGGACAGTGCTGAATGCAAACTGTGGTTTTTTAAAAAAGAGGACATGCTTAAATTTTTAAAAGATCTTTGAATGGGAGAATCTCCACGATATTCTGTAATATATGGAGTCACTATGCATTCTTTTGTGCCTGGCTCCTTTCATTTGACCCTGTACCTGTGGGGTTCATCCACGTTGTCTAGTAAAACCATGGTTTGAATAAAATTGTGCTGTGTTCACGAAAATGTGGCACTACACTACAGTGAGGATGAACATTTCTCCTGCTGTCCTTTGGGCTGGTTCCAGTGCTTGGTTCTTGTGAACAAAGCTTCAGGAACATTCTCACTACCGTGTTACTTGTAAGGGTTAGTTTATGTTGGGCATTTATCCTGAAGCAGAAATACTGGGACATGTCATTAGCTTTAGTATATACTTTCGTTTATATATGTTTAACTTAAGTAGATATTTTCAAACAATTTTTTCAAGAGCTTGTATCAATTGACATTTCCACCAGCAGTGAATGAGAATTCAGATCTTAGCTGATTCATTTATAATGAGTGATAATTATATCAAAAATTGTGCTAATGACAGGCATTTTGAAAACAAATGTTTGGAATTATATATTCCAATCATTATGTAATTTTATTTTCAAAATTGATATGTATATAATTTTATAAGAATTCACACATCTATATACTTTTGTAACTTGAAAATATAATTTTTAATCATGATAATCATCTTATAAATGTAGAGTTCCACTGTGTTTGGACTTGATTTTTAAGAGTAAAATGGGCCACTATTCAATTATTTTGCAATTCGAACTGATTAACACCAGAGATGATAGAAATTTACAAGGCACAATTTATCAAAACCTTTGCGCTGTTGGTCAATGAAACTAAAAAATTAATATGATTCATTAGGTGGACTCAATAATGTACTTTTATTTAGTGTGATAAATGTACTTTAGTTAACGTTTTTTAACGTTAACTGATACCCAATAAAGTATCAAAATGAACAAAAACAGAGAGGCAGATATTCAAATCAGCAATCCAAGATTAAATAAAATAATATGTATTCAATTACACTGCAGTCACTAAAAAATCAGAGTGAAATAAGTAATTTCTATTAATATTATCGAGTAAATATTTATTTCAACTTTGTTACTTTAAAAGGTGCTGTTTTATATTGAACATAAAATATAACTTCACTAGAACTGATGTATTATTTTTTTTACTTGTGTGTGCTCAAAAATATTCTAAGGCTAGGGTGAAGATCAAAAAAATATAAAGAACACTAACTCATATGAAACAGTAACAGTAGGACATCACACACTACATGCTCGGGCACACTGGACTACTTCTCGTACGTAACAGCTGATCTGAGGTCAGTTCTCCCTCACAGCCACCCCCGTCTCTGTTCTGTTGCTGAGAAGGACCAGACTCAGAAAACTGCTCTGGACCGAGGTCATCAGCTCCTAAGTGCAGAGTGCGGGTTCAGGTCTAGATTAGCTGCATCCCAAGTTACGGCTTTCCACCAAAAAAAAGAGAAATGGGGAAAAAAAACAAAACAGAAGAAAACTGAAAAACCACAATGTCACTTAAAAGCCTTTGTCTTTTAATTTTCATTTACAGATGGGGTGAAAAGATATCTTTTTAGATACACTTATCTTCCTCAAATGTTGAAGTTATTTATTTGTAAGTAGTAAGTTTAAAGATATCTGTAAGCCTTTATGCACATGTATCTCTTACTTCATTTACACACTAAGTAAAAAAGGTCTAGAACTACCTCGCTTCCAAATCAACCACTGATTTTAATAATATATTAAAGTTTACAGAAGGTTGTAGTTCAGCTAGTATTTATAGCAGAAATCTCTAACCAAACCAAGAAAACGGGAAAAGTAATTATCAGCTGAGAAAAAAAACGATAAAGTTACTTCCTCAATCACTTTTAATGAGATGGCTAAACAGGGCTGCACAGACTTGAAAGTCACACACGACAGTGTGTGAAACTCACAAAGCTCACAGTGGACGGGGCTGGAGACAACCTCACGGGTGGCGACAGAGTGGCTGGAACAGTGCAAGGTGTCTGATGCGGCGCTGCAGCACAGCCCACAGCCCCCTCTGACACACATGACGGATGGGCGCACAGAGAAGAAACCGAGATCCGAAGAGGGGCCCCTCGAAAACAGCTGGAAGACGCCCACGTTAGCGCCCGCGCAAAATTTATTTGGCAAGCAAAACAGGTCTTTGTTCAAAGTTATGATCCTTGCCAATCGAGGTCAACCTAATTCAGGAAGATGATCAGTAAGGACTCATCGTGTCAGCATGATCTCCTTCCATCTGCTAGAGGGCTTGTACATGAGAAAAATTCCATCAGCCACTTCAAAGAGGCCCGGGCTCGGGTGTTGCCCAATCTCTCCATCAGCATGGTCGTTACTGTGGAACCTGGTTCTGTGCATTTCGTTTCGCTGACTCGGCACTACTGACACAGACAGACCCGGCCAGACCTTGGGGCCACGGGGGGAGGGGGCAGGGAACCGCCCCAGGGCAGGTGCAGCGTGGCTTGGCCCCAGTAGCGCTGTGCGTGGTGACAAATTCCCCACTACTGGGCAGAGCCGCGCTGGAGGAAGTCACTGCGCTGAGGTGAGCGAAGGTAGTGAGAGTGACTGACAGAGAAAGAAGCCCTCCTACCCCCTGACTGCAGGTGAAACTGGAGTTCGCAGAGGCCTGCGTACAGTCAAGGTCCACGTGGCGGCAGGGCGAGGTGCTGTCGGGTCAGTCGAATGGGGAAAAGGCTGGGGGAGTGGCTGCAGGGGCGGGACCCCCGTGGAGCGCACAGAGGTTCGGGCCTGGAGATTTAAAACTGGGAAGGGAGAGACGCGCTCCCTTCCTCGGGGACCCCCGGGGTGGGTGTGCGGGCTGAAGTGTTTTGCAGACTGGCTAGGTCCTGAAAGGCACTCAGTGAGGGCAGTGTGGGTCCCACGGGTAGACTCCAGAAGGCGCCCTGGGCCAGACTGCAGCCAGAAACAAGCTACGCTACCCGGACAGCCGTGCTGTCGCTGTCTGCGGTCCCGAGGGTGGCGTTCTGAACCGGGGAAGGCACAGCCTGGGCCTCGTCTGGAGGGGCACGGCCGGCCGGGTTTCCCCCGGGTGCTCTGCAGGGGATGGGCTTTGAGACGAGGGCCCGCCATCCTCCCAGACTGCGCAGCCTGTGAGAGAAGACCTCCTCCCCTTTCTCGCCAAACCTCTGCCTCCGGCCTCTGCCTGTGGGTGGCGGTGGGCAGCTGAACCCCCTCCCCGCTCGGTACCACCGCTGGCACGTGGCTTCAGTACCGTTTTCCTGGGCAATTCCGCTCTGCACTGCTGTTCTCCCCCCGCTTTCTTTTCTTCTCTTGGTGGAAACAAGCCTCCAGGCAGTGAGGTCTTGCCCTTCCCACGGTGAGAGAGCAACGAAACAAAACCAAACCAAACCCTCTGGAGAAAACCAAACACCCCGGCTCAGGTGTTGTGAGCCTGCCCCCCCCGCCCCCCCCACCTCTGGAAGGAAGGCACGCTGGGAATCTGCGCTCCGATTCCCGCAGAGAAGACGCGTCCC